TCACAGAATTCGAGCACATGGTCTTTTTGAAACATGTCTTAAAGGTGATGCTAAAGATTGGTATGAAAGATCTCTTCAAAGAAAAAATTGGAAATTGAGAAATTTATTAGATAATACTAGACAAGCTACTTTAGCTCTGGCTCAAGGATGAATAGCAGTACAACTTGGTGCAAATTTAAGACATGGTGCTATGGGCCAGGCCGGAAATATTGTTATTCCTGCTTATACAGTATTTGATGAAGACTGGTCTTTTGCCGATGGGCATCCAACTAATTGCATTGTAAATCTACCCAATGCCAATGGTGGTTAATCTATAGTAGCAGATGGAATTCGACTTGGGCAGGCAATATACTGGCTTAAAACTAACTATCTCACAGTTACTGCAGAAAAACAGCGAATACTCTTTGGTTCAACGGTTCAAGGCAGTGATCTTGTAGGTCAATTCTATTCTAAGTTATGTAAACTTGCTAGGCTTGCTGGTATTGATGAACAACTAATTCAATTACAATTTATTCATAGTATCTCTCCTGATAATCAATTAGAAATTTGACACATTGGAATTAACAGGCCTGTATCTGAATTGCTTACAGAACTCAAAGAAATTAAAAGATATAAGACAGAGCAATTATCTAAAGCATATTTATATTCAGGCACAGATAAATCTTATAAAAAAGACAATAACTCTTCAGGTCTGGGTATGACCAAAACTGAGATTGAAAGCTTGATAAAATCTATGATGCCATCTATCCAAGAAATAAAGACTCAGCACTTTGTGCCATCTTAACCGATTTCTTCACAACCATCTCAATCATACTATAAGCCATAACCACCAGAAACCTCTTAAATTATACAAGATACAAATCAGAGTAGATTTTTACAATGGCTTATTGAAGAGATTCCAGAATTTGTTCCTGTTCCTAAGCCTGATTTACCTCCAAAACCAGCAATAAAAAAAGCATTGCGAAGCAATAACCTACAGAGTCTTGAAGTTACAGATAATGATTCTGTAGAAGATATGCGTAAACAATTAGAAAACCTCCAAATCAATCTGACTAAAATGAAAAAAGCTATGAAAAAGAATTCTAGCAAGCCTAAATCTTCTAATCACAAGACCAAAACCAAATCTAGAACCAAAAAATCGAATCGATTAAAACATGTTAATTTTCATATAATTTCAGATGAATTATCTTCAGACTCTAGTGATAGCGAAAATAGTACAATATCTAGTAAAAATGAACTTGAAACCAATACTTTGACATGTTCATGGACTGAATCAGAATCAGATTTCTCTGGAACCAGTGAGTCTAGTAATTCAGAAAATGATGAGTCAGAGACTCGAGGCTATGCCTTTTTAGAAGAATATGAAGTCAATGCCATAAAAAAAAATAACTTTTTCTGATAGCAAGAGATCAAAGAAGCACAAAAGTGCCAGGTCAAAAACTTCTACCAAAAAATCTAGTAATACCTCTAATAAAAAGGATAGTAAAGTTAGACCTGAAGGGTCATTGCTTCGCAATACTAGGTCACTTAAAATTCCTACAGATAATATTAGCCTAAATGCATTTTTCGCTATTTTACAGTCAATAGTTAATTCATTTACTCATATACAACCTAAAGAAGTCTCAATTAATGGTTATAATATGATTAATGCTGAATTTATTGCACTGAAAGATCCTGTTCTAAATCATTTTACTTCGAATTTCTCAGATAAGGAACGAGAAAAGTTTTGGCATGAGATTACTATAATATTCTCTCACATCTTGCAACCAATATCAGATTTAATTCGAATTGCTTCCCAGCAAACAAATATACCACCCAAAACAGCCCCAGAAAGGATACAACCAGAAGCAGAAATTTTATAGCCAAATTCTATAGAAATTAATTTTATTCGTAAAATTATTCCTAATAATGTTGCAACTATTACTTGTCAAATTACTTCACCATCAGGAAAAAATATTCAAGTACCTGGTGCATTAATAGATAGTGGAGCAAACTGTTCTCTTAAATCAAAAGGTCTTGCAAAACTATTAGGAATAAATATTGACAAAAATAAAAAACCTTCTGTAAAATAGTGTAATAATTCTTTAGAATTCATTGAAACTTGTTATAATGTACCAATTACTTTTAGCTATGGAGATAATAGTTGTACAATTACAGAAGACTTTCCAGTAATGGATGATGATAAACCTTGGATATTATTAGGCACTCCTTTGCTTGATCATGCTGGATGGGAGCCTATTGTTAAATGTGAATTCACGTTAATACATAAAGATAAAGTAATTACTATACCTCTTTTAGTATATAAGTTTCAGAGAGAGATATTTAAACCAGAAATTAATCTGACTTTTCACAAGCAAAATTCAGTCCAAGTATCTACTGATTCTTCTAGTCTATCTAGTAAAGATAACAATGTATTATTAGAGGAATGGCATGCTTTTGCAGGTTTTAGCCCAGATTTTAGTCTATCTAGTAAGGATGATTTCTTGCAAAGCAAGTCATTAGATGATGAATCAGAGATGTGTCAAAGACTCAAAGCTCAGCTTCCTCAAGACTTTACCTTTTTTCTGAATCACTGCGAAGCAGGACACTTTGTGTCTAACCTGGGTCTAGACTCAAAGAGCCAATGCTCTGCAATAAAAAAAAAATAATTAAGACCCAAAAGGTCATTTCTTCGCAATCTAAATCACAAGTTCAAGATATTTTTATATGAGAGAAATGTATAAATCACTTTTTCCAGGATATATTAAAATATGATTTACTATCTTTTTCTTCTAACATATAAATAAGATTATATATAGTATCATTTCAGATTATTTTTTTTAATGTATATTCGAATAATTTTGTACTCCAATTAGCCATATCTATTTTTTTTTTTTTTTTTTGCTTTTGCTAAGGCCTTTTAGTTATGGCAGCTACTGCCTTTATGTAAATTCAATTATGATTACATAACTTGTACAAGGTTACCCCTATACTACACTAGCAGATAGCAGTACAAGCTCTCGTACACCTAATTTGATGCTGTCTAACCTAACTATGACCTCCTTGTCTGTAAATCTGTCAAGCCGTTACACATTTCAGAGTATGTCACCTGACTATAGAGCTCCAGGGGGCCCCCCTGCTAACTAACTATCCACATTTAATCTTTGCTAACAGGGCTTGCCCATGCAGAGTTCACCCAGACCTCAGCACTGACTTCACAGAATATCTTTAGCACTTTAGTATACTTCTGTTTCCGACCTCAAACTCCCAATCCAGATAGCCCGGTAGGACTATGACCTGTCCCTGGTACCCCAGGGTCTGCCTCCAAGGTCCTTTTCCTCTGGTTCGAGACTTCCGGCAGCCTGGTTGATGGTACCCCTTACCTGAGGTTCTTGCCCACCTGATTTCTTCTATATTGATATCTGTTTCCTATGTCTAGCCTTTACAGTAGTACTGTCGAAGATCTGTGTTACCTCTCTGCTTGGGTCTTCCCAAGTGGGCTTCAGTTATCCTAGTTTATGGATTTACATGGCCACAGATGCCCTATAACCTGCCAGATTATCTGGTATGACCATGTTACAGGTACTGATCCCAACTGATCGATAGATAGCCATTGTTGTATTACCAGTTTCAAGGACTTATCTTGTGTTTGCGCCGCCCAATGCCAGTTTGCATTCCTCTGTGTAACTCCAACATTGCACAGATGACCATATACACCAATGTAACATAGGTGGTTTTCCAAATTTTTGGCATCAGTGGGTTTTGAACTTCCAACCTAACACTTGAAGGGTTGACAACTTATCCACTTCACTAAGTCGCCACACCCTAGCCATATCTATCTTAATTTGATTGCATTCTATATCTTTCTGTTGCTTAATAGTTTTTAAGGTTTCCTCAGTAGATTTAATAAATTCTTGATGTAAATTATCTGTAGCTTCTTTGATTTTAGCATTAACCTCTTCTTCAGAGTATAACTCTTCAGGTCTATGAAGCAAGCTATTAGAGAAAGAATCAGAGATTCGAGACTTTGTCTCTTCTTCGAATCCTAACTTTTCAAGTTTTAAACTGGTATTGCTGTACAATGAGGCTCTGTTTCTACTTCTATTGTAGGATTATATCAAGATTTTTTATTTCTTTGGTATCTATCAACTTCATGTTTTAAAAATGCCTTTATAATAGGGCTAATACTACTGGCTTCTCTTTCTGATAATGGTTTTTTTTTTCGAGTTATAAGTCGATTTCATCCAGCTTTTATTAATGAAGATGGTAGTTGAGTAAGAAGACTTGAATAATTTTTATGAAAATCCATATAATTTTATGAAATATATTTTCATGAAATATTTTAATCTTTCAAAAAAATATAAAAAGCATCTATATTTTCATATAAAATTATAATCTTTCAAAAAATATAAAAACCATTCAACCATTTTGATAACAGTTACTAACTTTATATATTAATATTTTTTTATAAGAATATGACCTCAAGGTCAGCGAAATTTTTGGCAGAGTAAGTACAGAAATTCACATTTTTACTGTATACACTTTGTGAAATTTTCCAGTGGCATCCTGTAATCTGGTAATTGGGTAACTATGGGATAACTACAGGACAACTATGAGATTTTTTTTATATTTAGTATAATAGATATATATTAACTATAGAATAACTACAAAATAACTACTAGAAAACTGTGGGATTTTTTTATTTTTATTAAATTATTCTTGCCTTAGAGAGACACTTCTTTAAAGCTAAAAAATTATCACATTCATATCGCCTATATATTCCATCTGCTACTTTTTTGCATGTTTTACTATACAGATGTAAATGGTGATTGTATTCATCACAAACCTTACATCCATGCTTCAACCTTTAAAAATGTGCCACTTTTCGAAGCAATTTTGTTTATCTTTACATATGAGTATGCTATTCAGATTTTTTATCATTGTATATATTAACAGAAAAAATAATCTATACATGGCTAAAAAAAAAAAAAAAATCAGATTTCTGGATTCAGATATTTGAGAAACAAATATGTGCATTATTTTATTATAACCACATATAAATTTGAAAGATAAATTAACGTTAAGCAATAAATAAAGTTCATATTGTGTATGTCATACAAAATTGGGTACATTAAGGTTTTGTGTTACTTTTCTGCAGAATTATTTCTCACAGTCAATTTTTTATTAACGCTAGTCTCGACTAGAACTGTTTTCTTGTTATATACGATCTAGTAATAAGAATAAGCTTAAATAGGACCTAAAAGGGCCATAAGAGAAAAGCTTATGACATTCTTAATCAGTAGTTTTATCAAAATTCATATGTCGCAGGAACTTGGAATTCCCAAATCGCTGAGATTGTTGACTTTTTCACTTGGTAGTAGCAGGCATCAAATCTAAGGGATTTATGTCTCTAAAAGGATGCTAAAATATATTTAGTATTTGGGCTTTACAACCGAAATGGAGTTGCTTTGTTAAGTGTGATCTGTCAGTATTAGAGTAATGCAAATTACTAATCATGTAACTAGCAAGTTTTTTAGATCTAGCAAATGGTTGGTATAAAAATAAGTGATTTTACTGCTTCTTGTAGGTGGGTTATTTTGCTTATATATAATTTTTTTACTCGATCATAATTTATTTTTAAAGTAATGTCATTTTGTTTAATGGCGACTATGAAAATGAATTTTACTTACTATATTTTTTATTTAGAACCATGAAATAAGCACTAAAGATAGCACTACCCCCAAGACTAACAATGCCACCCCCAAGACTAACGATGCTACTACCTCCAAGACTAACGATGCTACCACCTCCAAGACTAATGATAGCACCACCCCCAAGACTAACGATAGCACCACCCCAACTATTCTAAATCAAAGCGACAATACAAGCTGAGAGAATTTTTATCTTGTAAGTAAACTTTGTGCCATGCCAGTACATTTGTGTTGAAATATAATTATCAGAATTAAGTTTTTTATTTTACTAAAAATTAGATGATGAGACCTGGAGAAAAATGTTGAAAGAAAACTTAGAGCATGATGAGGAAAATGATGATAATGATTGGTTAAACTCTGGTCAACGAAGGAAAATGTTTGATCAAATGTAAACCCTACCAACCTAACCTGTTAAGAGCATTTTTTATTATATAATAAATATATATATTTTATTTGTATAATGTTCGGCAACAATGTTTTATTAAATAAAAAGGGGGTCCTGCGAGCTCGCCATTTTTTTTAACTGATCGTGTAATTGTTGAGTATAGATATATATTATTATTATTTTGTTTTCTACCTATAACTTTATTAAAATTATTAAAAAAATAAGGCCTTGATGCATATATACATTATGCGCATTTAGGCTAGGCTCAAAGAGTTATAACCTTTTATAGTATTAGATTAGCAAATTTAGACCTGAAGGGAGATTTGGCACTCTGTGCCATCATTGCTTCGCAATAATATACTTGATCATATGATGTCAAGCCAAAACCGTACGATGTCATATGATATGAAAATCATTATTTGTCTAATATCATCTCTGTATCATCCATATATGATACATCAATTGTATAATTCGACTCTAAAGAATTTGTACCAGAATTAAGACCCTTTGGGTCATTGCTCTGCAATACATCGAAGTCTGTCCATATATTTGAACTTTTCCTTTCTATTCTAAATTTAGATTTGTTATCTCCGGTTTTAATAAACTCAATTTCATCTTTTTTGAAAGCCCCAATACTTGATGCGCTGAAATTTCTAATTCATTGGATCTTATCTTTACCAATTGTGCTGAAGATATCATAAATCTTTCAAGCTGTAGCAATTCTTCTCTTTATAACATTAATAGAAGTATTACTAGGGAGTAATTTTTTAACTTCAGCAACTATCTTATTCTGTGCTGTGCGTAGGAGGATCGATATCTTTAGTAACTCTTTAAGTTTTTCTGCATCCCTTTTCCGAACTGATAATAAGACAAGATGACTTCTTTTTTTGCACGAACCACATTTCTCTCTGAGTGAGCAAGTAATTCTTCAGCTTGATCTATATTTACGTATAAAAGAAGAAATCCCTGTACAGTCAAGGGAGGTATTTCTTTCATTTCAGATGATGCATCAGAATGGGGTAAATCTTTAGAAATTTCTTGAAGAAAAGATCTAACTTTAGGAGTATTTCCAGGTTTTAAAGCTTCTGCAAGATCACTGATATCCTTTTTAACTGCTTCTATATTTTTAATTCGATTTTGGCAATTTTTAACAGGGCAGGTAATATTTTCACTAATTGCAAAAAATTCAATAGCACAGTTGAAATGTAAGATATGATCACATTCCAAGACAGTGACTGGTTTTTTAATTGGTTCTTGGCAGATGCAACATGAATTGAGAATTTGGTTAAGAATATCTGATACAGAAGTTGATATATTCATGATTAAGAAATTGATTAATTTTTGGGAAGCGATTTTTGAGGTAGATGAGAAAAGTGATGGGGTTTTATACTTTTTGTCTCAAGCCCTTAAAACAACTGGAATTTGTTAGAAAATTCATGAAATATGATATTGTGATTAGAGATCACATACTACCAACCTGCATTTACACAATTTAAAAAAAAAATATATATTATATATAATTTTATTGTGGAGCAGGCCCAATGGATGACCCTAAAGGGTTATAATAGCACAGAGTGCCGAATCTCTAATTCTCCCTTTGTATCTAAGAAATGTTTCAGGTTGGTATATGTTTCTTCTTCTCACTAATCTAGTTTATACTAATAAGCTAGATATATGAGATACACATTTATTTTGATATTTCTTTGAAAGCTTAATGCTTAAAGCTCTTTGTTCAGCCAACTCTGGAGATATTCCATTTGATATAAAATTTTTATATGCTTGTAT